AAGGGCCGGTTGTAATTTTAATTATATATAAATATACATATGTGAATATATAATATATATTAAATAATGTATTATATTACATTGTTGGCCCTGCATTGGATTATTATCAGTTCTGGTAATATCTTCATAATTAACTACGTCTGAAAGCAGAAGTCTAGGTCAAATAATTGAGAGGAAATATTCAACAATTACACCAATTGTATTGTATATTATATTCTTTGCAAGCTCTTGCGGGGCCACATCAAATTAGGCCCCGGTCCGGATTTGGCCCCCGGGCCTTGAGTTTGACACCCCTGCTTTAAGTGAATCGTTATGCAACTGCTTTTTCCACTTTGCTAAGGACTGCTATATTTCCCTAAATCTCGTCGGCCTGTTTCTCCACCAGGATTTGGATGGAAAGCCTCAAGGCCGTCTCCTGCCGCCAGGCCCTGCTTGGGAACTGGGATGTTGATATAGTTTTTTTTCCCTCATCTATTGTTCTCGCATGTACGCCAGCCAGCGCAGACACCAGCCCAGAGTGCCAAGCCTGCTGTTATCTTGTAGGAAACGGACAAGTCGTGAACCTGCAAAACGCAGCAGAAAGACGGTCTGCGTCGGGGGAGGAAGTCCTGGAGACGACTGATAACTGAGGACGCTGCTGCCTCCTTCCTGGTGTCCTCTTGATCTATTTTAACACGTACTGGCTTCACTCTCTAGCATCTGAAGACTCCCTTCAGCAGCTTCTATCGACGATGTTCAGGTGTATATCAGTATTTAGTGTCTCTACTTTAAAGAGTCCTCTCCTGCTGATGTTCAGGTGTATATCAGTATGTAGTGTCTCTACTTTAAAGAGTCCTCTCCTGCTGATGTTCAGGTGTATATCAGTATGTAGTGTCTCTACTTTAAAGAGTCCTCTCCTGCTGATGTTCAGGTGTATATCAGTATGTAGTGTCTCTACTTTAAAGAGTCCTCTCCTGCTGATGTTCAGGTGTATATCAGTATGTAGTGTCTCTACTTTAAAGAGTCCTCTCCTGCTGATGTTCAGGTGTATATCAGTATTTAGTGTATCTCCTTTAAAGAGTCCTCTCCTGCTGATGTTCAGGTGTATATCAGTATGTAGTGTCTCTACTTTAAAGAGTCCTCTCCTGCTGATGTTCAGGTGTATATCAGTATGTAGTGTCTCTACTTTAAAGAGTCCTCTCCTGCTGATGTTCAGGTGTATATCAGTATGTAGTGTCTCTACTTTAAAGAGTCCTCTCCTGCTGATGTTCAGGTGTATATCAGTATGTAGTGTCTCTACTTTAAAGAGTCCTCTCCTGCTGATGTTCAGGTGTATATCAGTATTTAGTGTCTCTCCTTTAAAGAGTCCTCTCCTGCTGATGTTCAGGTGTATATCAGTATGTAGTGTCTCTACTTTAAAGAGTCCTCTCCTGCTGATGTTCAGGTGTATGTCAGTATGTAGTGTCTCTACTTTAAAGAGTCCTCTCCTGCTGATGTTCAGATGTATATCAGTATGTAGCGTCTCTACTTTAAAGAGTCCTCTCCTGCTGATGTTCAGGTGTATATCAGTATGTAGTGTCTCTACTTTAAAGAGTCCTCTCCTGCTGATGTTCAGGTGTATATCAGTATGTAGTGTCTCTACTTTAAAGAGTCCTCTCCTGCTGATGTTCAGGTGTATATCAGTATGTAGTGTCTCTACTGGGACATGTCTCCATGCTTTAATGTTCAAAAAGCTCTTTATTTTTCTCATACTGCTCATGTGCTGCAGCACCTCTTTTCACCCTCTGTCTGAAACCAGAGCCCAGTCTGCTCTGATTGGTTAGCTGGCCGGCTCTGTTGTGATTGGTCAACCGCTTAGAGATGTCCCGCCCCTTAGCCTATCACGTACAATGTGTTGGAACGCTAGCCAATAGAAGCACGGGTGTTACATAGTGATGTCACTACAGTATGTTAAGGAAAGGGAAACTCCCTCTGGGGGGAAATGTGGGATTTTAAGCCTCTGCAGACCATTTACATGCACTAAAAGCTATATATCACACTACAGGAAAGGAGTAGTTTGTCATTTTCTGTCATATTCTACCACTGTTGTACGAGAAACCTTCTTGAGTAATTCTCAAATGAAAAGTATGTAGGTAATTCTACTAGATATTTACAGTATAATAGATAAGGAAAAAACATAAAAAGGAAACTGTGGTTTACTGTAAGCCGGCAGACTTTTCCCCGGCTGGGCGCAGTTACTTCCTGAAATCTTGTCATCACCGTGACGACCAGCTGTAAGTTCAGGAAGTCACTGCGCCCATACAGTCAGGAGAAAAAAATCCTAAAGACCTGTGGAGAACAGGATCCAAGATGATGTCATTCTGAGTCATTTCAAGGGGTTTGTGGCGCTCGGGAAAATGTATTCACGTTTTTAAAAGCTGGTTATTTTCGAATATATGGTGTATGGGGAAAACAATGATCCTGGAGGTTAAATTGAGTGGCTTTTACCATAAGTTTGTACATTTCTGTGGTCTCTTTTGCACATTTGATAATGAGCTAATCCATAAGTATGGAAAGTAATCAAGTTACAAATACAGAATCATACCTTTATTAGTCCCACAGGGGGGAAACATTAAATAAGAGGCTTACTTAATAGTTTTAACAGCTTGTTGGTAGTCTAGTTGGGCTATATTTTGAAGGAAATCCTCCCAAACTTATGAAATCCCTGAAGATCCTGAAGCTAAGTCTTTTAAAAAAGTGATCAGGTATAATACAACTACATCTAAATGACTCACTAAGATCTCAAAGTGTACAAAAAGGCTTCTCGATTACACTCTCAAAGTTAATTTTCTCTTCACAGCGAGGTTTTCCCCCTCTTTGTGATAACATTCTGTTAAACACACCGACACAGATGCACGTTCACACGCTCCAAAAAGTGTCCGGCTTTTATTTGTTTTTTAAAGGATAAAGTGCTGACTTGAATTTAGAAGAAGTGTCACATGTTTTCTTTTTCTCATACTCCCAAAATAAAAGCCCCCCGTCTGAATCCACATACTGTATAGAGAGCGGCAGGTGCATAATCAAAGAAAAACACTTTCCTCGCCTCTCAGACTGGAGGGGGGGCACTTCATTATTCAGGCTGCTTGTGTTGGTGTGTGTGTGTGTGTGTGTGTGTGTGGTGTGTGTGTGTGTGTGTGTGTGTGTGTGTGTGTGTGTGTGTGTGTGCGCGTGTGTGTGTGTGTGCGTGTGTATGTGTGTGTGTGTGTTTTGGAGGGAGAATGCTTGAAGATGGTGGGAGTTGGAGGGGCAGATGTTTTACTTTCTATCACCGTCCCATAAACACTTTCCTACAGATTTCACTCGGCAGCGGTAAGCTTCCCAGACTTGATCAGAGACACAGAAGAAAAAAAAACTAAGAGCGCGGCTCAACGCAGACGATTTCACTCCATTTAATTACGACACAAATGAGTGCACAAAGAAGCAAGACGGAGACAAAAAGCCTCCGACCGGCAGCAGCCGCGGTTGCAGCACGTTTCAAGTTTGGCATCAACTGAGGCTTTTTGTCTTCCATTTGCTTCTAAGAGCCTGAATGTGTCCACAAGTTGAGAAGACATTCTTGCATTAAACACCCATCTATTGTTTATACTAGATTTCGTATGCATTTCAACTGGGATGCAAGTCAAATTTCAGACTTGATCTCACCATTAAAGTATTATCGTACCGTATCTTATCCTAAAATTGTCAAAATATGTTTTTATGTCATGTGGAAAGTATGAGCACACACTTTTTTAACAATATGTTTTCATCGCTATGTGACATACACCTAGATATCAATATCAAAATCCAGTTTTTAAGTAGTTAACGATCATATTGCATGTGCTGTATGGTTATACTCACTCACTGTACACTAAATCCACAGTTAAAGTTAACTACTGATCTAAATGTAATCAGGGACCTGGATACAAACTATTATTTGTGCAGTAATTGAAACTGACCAACACTTTAAAACACAATCTCATCATACTTCATTCTATTAGTGTAAATCCAGCCTATTTAAATATCGTTTGACACAGGAAAAGGTGGACATATTACCAGTAAACTCAGAAAATAATGTATGTGACAGATATACTGTAGTTGCGAGACACTTTGATGAGGATTTAAAACACTTAATCTAATCAAATCCAAAGTCCTACATTTAAGCAGTGATTTTGTAAGATTGGGTCATCAAATGAAGATATCTGAAATACTGCATATTTGAATTTGCAGGGCTCTAAAACCCCTTCAAATAATCCAGTCCTGAAGCAACTCAGACGGGTCACATCCCCCCCCAAACACTCTCTAAACACCAAGAGCGTAACAATTCAATTCGCTCCACCAGCTACAACATGATGCTTACACTGAACGAGTATAAGTCCAACAATATGATACAGAAACACAGCTATAAAAGGGCCATGAAACTGCAATAATGACAGAGATGAAAGGTAACTAAGTATTTGTAGTCAAGTGTAGTACAGCACAATTATGAGCTATGATATACGTGGTGTTTATAAAATGTCATGCTCCTTAATTTTCATTCTCTACTAGAACTAGGATTATACTACAGAGTCATAATAACATAATGCATTGTTTATTAGGATTAACAATCTGGCAATATAATATTCAATATCAATACTACTTGTCTGTTCTGTATTTCTTATACCTTTGTTGTACTTTCTTTAAGATTTGTATATGTAATGCATGACTTTAATACATTTTAAGAGTACTTCTACTGTTGATACAGAGGCTACATTATAAACAGTGACTCTGTACATGTTAAAAGACTTATTTGTATGAAATACTTTGTAAAATACATAGTTTTTACTCATACTGGAGTACATTAAGTGTGTGTGCACCTGTTGCTGTGTCTCACGGCTGCCTGCTCTCTTCTTTGTAATGTCCTAACATCCTATAGTATCTCCTAGAGTACGAATACTACAGAAATCACACAGAAAACGCACCCTAACTCCACAGGTGAACATGCACTTTCAAATATTTGTACTCACTGAGAGAAAGCAGCAGCCACGTGATCCTCATCGCTGCTCGCATGCTGTTTCTGTCCACTTTTCTCCTGATGTAGAGATCCTCACCAACGATCCTCACTAAACCCGACGAGTCTGAGTCGTGTCACGCCTTTCCCCTTCTATTTCTATCTCAAGTAAAAAGATCTCACCAGGCGTATTGTTAACTTTTTTCTTCTTCCCTTAAACTGAAAGCCAAGAATGCTTTTGTGTGTGTCTCTGCTGCTTCTTTCTCTGAGCAGAGCTGGAGATTTGGGGGTAGAGTGTGTGTGTTAGTGAGTGTGTGTGTCTCCCTCTCCCTCTCCCTCTCTCACTGGTCTGATGCTGAGTTAAAGAGCTGTGTGTGTGTGTGTTCACTGCCTCCCTTATCGTGAGGAACCAGGGGCAGAGCCAGTCCTCTCCAATCCCAGCGCTGTGGACTCTCTGCTGCTACCGGGGACGTTTTGAATAACAAAGGAAGCCGTGAGACAATGTGTTCCCCCTGCTTTGGATTCATTCCTAAAACGGTCCATGACTCAAGGACGCAGGGTAAAGTCACACAGATCTGATGGTGTTTGATCAAGGGAAAGGCCCGTTTAGATCGAGGAGTCAGCATGTCTTCAGGTTATCTTGGGAGGGTTACTTTAATGTACTCTGTTACAATTACTAGTTACCGGAACATATGTTATTAGTAACCTAATCTGAGTATCACAATATTAATGTAATGTAACCAGATTACTTTCTGTTACTTTTGGATTTCATCAATACAAAGAAGTATGGTTTTTCTATGTTTTTTACTAACATAGTAATGTAACATTAATCAGATTACGTGACATTTATTTATATTTTATTTATTTTTTATTCCAATGTTTTTTTTCAATTTTTTATTTTCTTTTGTTCTTCCATTTTTTTAAATTTATTTATTTTAACATTTTTATTTTTTTTTACTTTTTTATTTTCTTTCTTCCTTTTTTTTCTATCTCTTTCTTTCTATCTTGATAGGCATATGTCACAGGGGAAATCCAATGCAAACCATCACATATATAACCAACAGAAGCTTTATTACAGCCATCCTAGTTGTGTCTTTCCATATTCTGGTAACTCTAATACACATGTGTCAAACTCAAGGCCCGGGGGCCAAATCAGGCCCGTGGTGGATTTAATTTCGGCCCGCAGGATAATTTCTAATTACTATGAGATCTGGCCCTCCGGTATATTGCACGCACACCTTCACTCCATCCTGAGGGTTTCCTCCGCTCAGAGCCTGACCCCAAACATTGATGAGCTTGCACCCAAGATGAGATGCCAAGTATCTGCTTGAACTAGCATCACAGAGCAGCACACTGAGTTTACATGGATGTTTCCTTCTGCACTTTCTTTCTTGAGACAACAGGGCATGTTTGGTTTTTTCTTTGAGGGGAATTGTTTTTTTGAAGCTGTTGTTGGCCTGTGGAAAAATGTAATCATAAGAAATGACTCTGGAAAAGCTGCAGATAGAGCCATAAGAAATGAATGCAACTGATTATTTAATGTTTAATGTTGTTTTTATAGGCAATAATTTAAGCTGTGTTAGTTCCAGGTTTAATATGTGCAATAAGTTCATTTCAATAAGTTTTGCAATAAACATTGAACCAGTCCGGCCCTCGACTAGTACCCATTTTTTAATGTTGGCCCACTGTGTATTTGAGTTTGACACCCCTGCTCTAATTGATGGATATGAATTCATTCCTTTCCCATTAACCAACAATGAGTTTAATTTACTCTAGAAACGGGAACATTGGTCTAGCTGGCGTTGTGTTTGGCTTTTGGATTAAAGTCGGCCAGCAGACTGTTGCCCTGCAGAAACCCCTCAAATTGACTCAGTCGCTTGTAGCCATGACGACGATGTTCACAAACGTCCATGGAATTGCTTTCATGGCACTTCTACTCTGCCTCCATTCACTGAGCTCCAAATCTCCCTCGACTGACACAATCACGCCTTCAGATCCTTCTCTGAAATACGACGACAACAAACAGTTTTTTCTGTATAAATCCAATTGCTATCGTGATGGCAGCAGCTCCACTGGCGGCTGATAGGAAATGTGGGAACAAATAGCAGAGATAGCATCAGGGGTGTGGAGGTTTGTCCTGGGTGTTTCCTGCCTCTGGAACAGTTAGGAGTCATTAATAACACGAGGCTGAGATTCAAAGACATCACGAGTCACGCTCGGACTCCAACATGTCCTTTGATTGCTGGGTATTTGTTTTATCATGTTTTGTGAGAAATGAAACTCAAACTACCGCCTCAGCAGGATAAGTTTCAGTTTAGACCAATCTGTCCAGACTCAATTATATGTAGTGAAGACTTTGAAGGATTTCTTAAAAATAAATGTAATTTTTGCAAATGGAAATGAACACAATGACATATTTTAAATAACTGCAAGTAAGAAACATGTTGTTTTTTGTGCTTTTGGGGGTTTTCCCTTCTCCTGTAGTGTGTTATATAGGTTTGTGTGCATGTAAATGGAGTTCCCCCCCCTCCTTGTATTGTCTCCATTCGACTCCTTTGTTTACTTCTGGAACATAGTGACATCACTATGTAACACTCGCTCTCCTATTGGCTAGCGCTCCAACACATTGTACGTGATAGGCTAAGGGGCAGGACATCTCTAAGCAGGTTGACCAATCACAACAGAGCCGGCCAGCTAACCAATCAGAGCAGACTGGGCTCTGGTTTCAGACAGAGGGTGAAAAAGAGGTGCTGGCAGCACAGGCAGTAGTGGAGAAAAATAAAGAGCTTTTTGAACATTAAAGCATGGAGACATGTCCCAGTAGAGACACTACATACTGATATACACCCTGAACATCAGCAGGAGAGGACTCTTTAAGTAGACCTACATACTGATATACACCTTGAACATCAGCAGGAGAGGACTCTTTAAAGTAGAGACACTACATACTGATATACACCTGAACAATCAGCAGGAGAGGACTCTTTAAAGTAGAGACACTACATACTGATATACACCTAACATCAGCAGGAGAGGACTCTTTAAAGTAGAGACACTACATACTGATATACACCTAAACATCAGCAGGAGAGGACTCTTTAAAAGTAGAGACACTACATACTGATATACACCTGAACATCAGCAGGAGAGGACTCTTTAAAGTAGAGACACTACATACTGATATACACCTGAACATCAGCATCAATTTGTCCGTGGTAAAATCATTTTAAAAGAAGACAAATCAGATTGGATTTGAGCACTGTGTACGAGCAGCTGGTCAGCATGCTGTCTCTGTTTGTGGTGGTTGTGTAGGAGGTGAGTTGTGTTTGCACTCCACAGTCAGATTAGCAGTGATGATCACAACCCGCCTGCTGCATGCATGACTACCAGCAGCCGACCTAATGCCTGCAGCCGGTCAGAGGAATGTCATGTTAGCTCGAGTGCTTACAGTGCTCCAGCTCTGCATATATTTACACCCTCCATTAGCTCCATGTGGCTGATGCACTTCATCTGGAGAGCAGCTGGGGCCAGGATCAGTGAGCAAATGACAGATGGAGCGAGGGAAGGATGTGTCACTGAGCTTCCTGAAGAGACTCACTTTGTTTCCTCTTCTCATTGGTCTACTTGTCAGCTGGGACTGTGATGGAGGAAGGATGTTCTTCATCCTCTTTCATGTTAACTTATACACTGCTGATCACGACTACTTTCTGTCACATACTTGCTGATATTCAGTAAATGTCTGAAGATAAAAAAGACATTTGCCACGGATTCTGTGTTGTTTGACATTCTCATGTCATGGGAAAACATGAAAGCCTCAGACTGGGAAGGTTTTCTGAGCATCACTCTTTTTTTTACTGCAAAGTTCCATTTATTCTGGAGCAGATGGATTTTATGAATCATATAAACACAATTTCTGTCTGGGCCATTCTGTGACCTTGTGGTTTGATATGTAGTAAGTGCATTCCTTCCATTTCACATGTTAAATGTTATATTTGAACTCTACCAATCTGGAATTTTTGTACACAAATTGAAAATACCATGTGTCATTTCACCCAAAGTGTTCTCTAAATGTTTTTTTACTGTAGAAACAGATCCTCAGTTGACACCAATATATTCCATTAATGAAATTCTACAAAGGCCACACAAATGTTCAAATACATGGAAATAAAATCCACTCTCAGGGAGGAATCTCCATCCTGTCAGGGGTGGATGACCAACTGTCTGACTTATCACACCAGCTCAGCGTGGGTCATACTACTGATATAAGTGTGTGTGTGTGTGTGGTGTGTTGTGTGTGGTGGTGTGTTGGTGTGTGTGTGTGTGTGTGTGTGTGTGGTGTGTGTGTTGTTGTGTGTGTGTGTGTGTGTGTGGTATGTGTATGTGTAGTGTGTGTGTGTGTGGGTGTGGTGTGTGGTGTGTGTGTGTGTGTGTGTGTGTGTGTGTGTGTGTGTGTGTGTGTGTGTGTGTGGGTGTGTGTGTGTGTGTGTGTGGTTGTGTGTGTGTGTGTGTGTGTGTGGTGCTGGCAACCGTGCCGTACCCTCTCATGTCCGCCGTTCTGGAAATTCCTCAGCCCTGAGCTCAGCTCCGTGCCGGCCGGCGCTCCGGTGGGTTGATCCATCGCCCCCCCCCCCCCCCCCCCCTCGCCTCATTAACCCACCACAATGAGGCGGGCATGTAAGGAATGTGAGTGTGAATTCTTCCTCAGAACCCCTCAAACTCCTCATCACCTTCTGGGTCTTCTTTAAACACTCACTTCACCCCCCACTACAATCCTCTCTACACACACACACAGACACACAATCACACATTCACACACAATACAAAAGTATTCAGGATCACGCCTTACTTGGAATACTTCACTTTACTTAATGTCTTACTTCAGATTTAAATATCAATGTTTAAACTGAATATTTATACACACACACACACACACACACACACACACACACACCACCCCCCCACACACACACATGCACACACACAGACTGTTTACTTTCTGGTGATACTTCAATCTTTGCCACGAGAAGGGAGATGATTTCCTTTGAGTGTTTATTAACATGTGTGTGTGTGTGTGATAACTTACCAGCGCTGTGAGAGCTGCACGTTCGCCTGCAGCTGCCTATATATGGAGGAAATTGCAAGTTCATTAACAACATTACTCACTCTAGTTGCTCTTTTGGTATGAGCCACACACACACACGCACGCACGCACGCACGCACGCTCACACACACACACGCACTCACGCACGCACTCAACGCCACACAATACAAAAGTATTCAGATCACGCCTTAATTTGAATACTTCACTTTACTTAATGTCTTACTTCAGATTTAAATATCAATGTTTGAACAGAATATTTATGTCTGGTAGATAAACCAGTTATTGTCAGTAACGTTTACACAAGGAATTTGCTTTGATGTTAAATGGTGCAAACATCCACATCTCACATATTGTACCCCCT